AGGATTTCCATTGAACAGATTCAATTTCATTGTTAATATGCAAAGATACTGATTCCAATGATACAGTTCGGTCAGTAAAGAGAATTATTCTATCTTCTTGCAATAAAACTTGAGACAGAGCAGAGTCAAAATCTCGAGCATTTAATAACCATCTTTGATAAAACCAAGCACTAGTATCATTAGGATCTGTAAATGTAGCATTCATCACTAAGTCCAACTCTAAAATAAAATAATACATTGTGTACCATATATGTATCATTGCATTACGAATAGAATAGTTTTATAATAAATTAAATATGTTTATGTAATAATTAGTATAGCCGATAAATGTTACCATCTTTTTTCTTCTGATTAATGGTTTCTTGATTACACTTATCAAACATAGTTGATAAAAGCCGGCTTCGGTAATGCCAAGAAGAATAATTGGAAAAATTGTTCATGATTTTTGAAGTAGAATATTTAAATTCGTCTTCAAGAGAAACCTCAGCTTTCTGTACAACATATCGTCTATGATTCCAGCAATGAACTAAAACCAAAGAAATATTTATACATAACTATATTCTAGCTAGTGGAATGAAGGAAGTTAGTAATATTAGTAGCTTACAGTTTCTTTCATCGATGTTTAAATACCTAGAACATAACATTAATTCCCTTTTCCAGTCAGGTTCTCTCATATGCTCCATAATCCATATTCTTTGGTACCATACATAATATGACTTAGGATTACTTTTCAAACAGTTTTCAGTGAGAACTAATTCATGCTGGTATGATTCATTTAAGTGTTCTTCATTCCTATACCATTAAATATATTTATATCTAATTTCACATTCATAATTAAGTGCAAAGTCACATATATTTAAAAAAAAATTGTTATTGAAAATTACTTTTATAAATGAATACCTTACTAGCAAATAATCCAATAATACATAAAATAAATACTACTTAGCAATTGTTAGTTATTATTTGCACTGTCAAAAAAAGTATTTTAATGACTTATTTATGTTCAGCATTAAAATGTTTATAACATGTCAGATTAATTGTATAAGAGATAACAATTATTTAATCATTTTGTACAGTAAAATGAATAAATAATCATGATAATTATTTGAATCAGTAAGGTTCTCAAGTATATTCATTCTTCATTGTTATTAATATGTAACTACCAATCATTTTTTGTAAATGCCTCTCTACGAATATTCCATAATGTATAAATGTCAGAATTCTCTATTAGTAAGCGCTCGGTAACTGTCATCAACTCATCATCGTATATTTGATCTCTCCTCTGCAACATTTAAATCGAGACATTTATTTTTATTTTCAGTTTTGTAGTATTTTATATATTTTACCACATTGTATCTCTCTCTATCTCCTTAATTAAAATTAATGTGAACCTATAATACTGAATGAGTATACGTTAAATAAATGAGAATAAAGAAAAATTACTTTTTGAAATATCAAGCCCATTCCAGCTCTATATTCTGCAAGTTTCTTAGCTCTCTCTTTCTTTTTTATTGCTTCTTGTTCTGCAGTTGTCCGAACCTTAACTCTTCCGTGCTAAAAATCATATTTAATTATTATTTGTAACAAAATTGACCATTTATAGCATAAAATATAAAAAATATGTATAAACATGACTATATTCTTACATTAAATTAAGAATATTAAATTAATTTTAACTATCTTGCATATATAACTTTTCTTATTGACATTGTACACACTTCATTACTAAATAAAAAAAAAAATTAACACTTAAAGAATTAATATAAAAATAATAATTTCAATTACCATTGTGAATACTTTCAAAAATCTTCTATTTGAAGACTTTTT